AATGTGATTATTAATTTTTATTGAATAATACTTATGTTACACAGAATACCGATGCGAATGATAACATAGCGGTCGAGAGTGTGGACACTCCCTGTGCTATGGATATGATGGCCACTGAGATAGTCGACAAACTTGAAGAGGCACTCAAATAACAACTTGACCCAGACACTTTTCATTTTTATGTTTACAATAATTCTGTAATAATATAATCATTATGGTATATTAGTTCATTGTTTACAATATCTATCTGATTATCATGTTGAAATATACAATTTTATGATATTATTTTTCTAATTTTATTATCATGTTTATAATAAAATGTTTGTTTAATTTTGGTATAAAGTGTTGATTTACGATATAAAGAATATTCAGTACATCAGCACACATTTTTAAGAATATTTTAATCCTGTATTACCTGGATAGATTATTTTACGTGCAATCCTTTATTATCTAAACAAACACCTGGCCATTTTATATACAATTCTAATGAAATTCTAATGTTTAGAATATTATATTATATTACATTAAATTTCTTTTAATATTTGAAATACTTTATTTTTCAATATAAATAAATTATTGTCAAATTAAAAATATCAATATAGATTATCTTACAAATAGTCTGGGATTATCTATGAGGCCCTATCAAACACATTAAAGTGTCGTCAAATCATAATTCATTGATGTCTTGTACATTATTTTAGTGGATAAATTTGCCATCCTGTCCAGAATTAAAAATCATGGTCTTGAATTTTTACCTTAAATAATTAAGTCATAAATAAAATGAAAATGACAATTTGCATAATTGAAACACATGTACGTATAGTAACTTTAGTGACATGGACCTAGTTAGGTTATCTTTAGTACTAAACCAAGAATTGACATTGAAGGTTTTGGATTCCAACCAACAGTTTCAAGGAATGGAAATGAGATTCAAAAATAAATCTTATTATTACGTTGACTCCGGAACGCTAAGTAATCACATAACATCTCAATTTTATCACGATCAAATTATTTTAATAAATATATTTTTAATAGAGGAACACTATGAAAGTACTGTCATCGATAGTAGCAGGGTCATCGAGCACAGCGCTCTATATAACACGACCACCAAATACGGTAACGTAAGGAATGTCATATCAAGCGCCTCCGTGTCCGATGACTTCGATTGTCTCGTATACTTCTCTGCCGATGGTGTCCCTGGATTTAAGCAGTCATCCAGAGATTTTGTGCCTGATGATCGTGAGTCCACACACTTATTACCCCTATGAAACACACTCATTTTATATTTGTTTAATTATCCAGGATCAATCCAAACAACACTTTACGTGTACAACCAGGTGAGTGGTACTTACAAAGTAGGTGACGACGTGTCCGTTCACTGCGATTATCGCCTCAAAGCTAAAGACTTTCTCTTTGATCGACGAGTTTATAAAGACAACAAACTTTTCTATAGATACGTCAACAAAGATCAGAGTAATTATACACTATTAGCCACTGATATAAAGGACAATTTAACTAACTATAACAAACTACCCTGGAACATTCAGAATATTTCATGGCTCAAAGTGGTGTCGACAATGTTAGGTTGGATTCCGATGCCAACAATACGCTAAGAATTACTATTAACCCAAACGTTGGGGCAAATTCTGAGACAGGGGGCCGATACAAGTGTCAAGTCAATTATGTGACCCCCGATGGCCTGGACATGAACTCCACACATGAAAGTACACTCCAATTGGCGGGTTTTAAAACTATATTACCAGTAAAACTTAATTGAAGCTATCATTAAAACAAATCATCTTTAATAATTTCTATTTA